AGGCGTACTTCGTCCATCTTTGGGTACAGACTTCTTATGTTTAAATGACTGATCTTCAGACCACGACAACCGGATAGTTGTTGAGCTACGTTTATACCCGGGATTAGTGGCTACATCGTTTGATATAGCAATTAATAATGTAGAGATGTACATTCCTCGAAGCAAATGGCAACCAGAGAGAAACTTTACGGCTGTCAGAACATCCTCAACCCGAGAGACGCATGTACGAGAGAATAGCGGCTTTGAGTTACTAATAGCCATCTCAGAGGCATAAAAAAGCATCGGTTTCGTTGAATGATATAATGAGCTGTCTTTAGGCCAATACAAAGTTGACATAGATAGATAAACATATAAAATAATGCTCAAAGAGGGCAATGATAGCAGACCATGACCGACCGCCATGACGACGAATAGTTAAATTGGAATCGTGAAAACTTGTGAAAAAATGTTCATGTCAAGTTTTAGGTAATACGTTCCGCCAGCTGCTCCCCCTTCTAGAGAGAGATATGGACATTTTGTAACAATACCACGAAGTTTACCGAGTCTTGCGATGATTTTTCTTGCTTCCTGTAGTTGTTTTTGCTGGTGGTGTTCTTGTTCTTGCTGGTGTTGTTCTCGCTGGTGTTGTTCTCGCTGGTGTTGTTCTCGCTGGTGTTGTTCTCGCTGGTGTTGTTCTCGCGTTCTCACTGGTGTCGTTCTTGCTGGTGTTGTTCTTGCTCGTGTTGTTCTCGCTGGTGTTGTTCTCGCTGGTGTTGTTCTCGCTCGTGTTGTTCTCGAATTAATGAAGGCTGTGATATCATCTCTGTGAAGCATTGTAGGCTTGGATTTGTGAGTACCTACAGAGGAGCCTCCAGTTAATTGGCATGTAACTCCTGCATGTGGGCGTGGAGTTGAATTCTGAAATGCTTGTTGGGGGTTTTCCAGGGAACATTTGATCATGAATTGCATGCTGGGGTGTCGGAATCCGATGCTGGGGACTGCATGATCAACTAGAGCTTTAGTGGAATGAAGGTGGTTTTCACCAAATAGGATAGGCCAAGATAGTTGTGGGACTACGAGCATTGTAAAAATGGATTCTTTCCCCCCATGCCATAAGATAGGTATTTGCATGGTGGCAATGGCAATGGCAGATAATTTGGATCTGGCATCAGCAACCGACACAGGGATAGGTTCTTCAAGGTTTTCAAATTTAAGATCTGGTCGTTTAGAAATAACAATGTCTGCATGTGCTTGACTAACCAGGGACACTGAACAACAGCTGTCAATTGGTAATGGTAATTTAACTCCCGCAGAAGAGAATGGGGCCCACAGATATGTCGACTTTGCAACACACCCCGTGGATTGGCAACTGCTGGTAAGCCAAATATTTGTGGATCAGACCTGGATGAGCTATTGGGTTGAGTATTGCAAGGTTAGTAGCGCCTGCAGTGGCATGTGGCTGTGCAGGATAAACAGGATCATGTGATTCACAAAAATTTGAGGAGGGATGTACTGAGTTAGGTGGGTTAGACCTCAGGTTAGGCTGATGGCGAAGTGCTTTGCACCCCCACTTGTTGCATTCAAGACATTCGTGCAATCGACCAGCTGAACATTTATTGTTTGACTGTTCGCAATGAGATGTAAGAAAATGGTTATAGTTCTTACAGATTTCCGGTTTTGGAGGGGGAAGTTGTGGGCGTTGCTGGACAGGTTTATTCAAGGGACAACTTCGTTGAAGATGGGAAGGGTCACCACACTGATAGCATGCTTTAACAGGGTTTTTTCTGGAACATTTCGAATTCCCCCCTTAGTGGGCTGGGTAAAATGTGCCCCAAGGGGTTTCCAATCACTCAGTGAACTTGATAAATTGTTGTCTGTGTCAGACTCTTTTACTTCATTCATCTTCAGAGACTGTTCGATACGACGGGCAGCCTCGATAGTTTTGTCTAACTGTTTGAACTCTTTGGCTTTGATAATAAGGTGTTGGGAAATTTGGGGATGTACACGAGATATGAACTGAGCAATACTGTAAGTTGGGCAGTGCTTAGTTAATGACTCACCGAGTTTGTCGAGTTGATGAAGAACATTTTTAAAACGAAAGGCAAACTGTTCGATTGTTTTCGTTGGTTCTTGTTTCATAACACTAAGTTCGCTTGCTAGTCGACGACATTTGTCCTGTTTTGGTTCCTCAAATTCCTCTTGTAACTGTCTTGTACAGAGACCATATTACTCAGCGGCTGATTTTTCAGAAAATCCCTCGCTAGAACGACAAATAGACAGAACTGAACGCGTCTATTCGCCAACGCATTGCTGTTCGAGAAGTGTTAATCGTAAGTTATGCGGTAAATGATTTGTTTGCTCGTCAAATCTTTCGATAAAATTGTTGAGATCATCCTGAACTTGTCTCGCCTGAACTTTGGAAGTTGTCAGTGGCGTGCTGGCAGGGGGGGCCGGGGGGCCACGGCCCCCCCAGCTGGCAATTTTTGGGGGGCGCAAAAATGAAAAGGGGGCGCCGATCCCGCGCCGAATTTTGAAAGTATGTGGGAAGAAACGCATTCGAAGAAATATAGTTACTAATTCCGCCAAGGAAAGATGTGTTTATAGACTTATAAACAGACTAAGCGCATAGGCGACAAAGTGAGTGAGTATATTAAATTGCAGACTATTTTGTCTAACCGTATTTGCTAACGACTCACACGAAATCACTCGTTCATATAGAAACATGATCAGTGATCACACGCAATGTCTCATTTACCGGAATATTGATCAGGCTTCGAAGCGATCACGGGAATCATGCATATGCGTGGGGTCCGTGTGTTATTGTATAAAAGAGCTGTAAGTTGTAAATGAATTCAGATCAGTAGGGAATAGAATTGGGATTAGATTAATTGCTGGAAGTAGTTAGCATTGCCCAATTTAAGTGCTACTACTAAATTCTAACCAATTTTCAAATTTCGACATGTTGTAATGCCGTTTCCTGACCATCAGATTTCTGTCAAATCTTCCCCCAAAGTCCAGGAAATGGCATTTCAGAGACTCTAAATTCAAAAATTTTCTCGGGGGCTTTCCCCCGGACCCCCCTAGACAAACCTCGCACCTGCGGCGCTCGGCTCGTGCCTTCGGCCCTCGTTTATCAAAGGTAATATTATAGGGGCGCATATTAGTTGCCAGCCGACTGGCCCCCCAGTAAAATAGTACCCAGCACGCCACTGGAAGTTGTAACGTCGGTAACTTGAGATTTGGTGTAGCTTGAGTGTCATTTCCTGAAATTCCTGCATTTGTAACTTGACCCACTTGCGTTGATATTTCTGCGACATTTGTTGTCAGCCCTTTTACAATACTTGAAAGACCTGCTATTAGCCCTGTTAGTTCTTCGATCGTTGCTATTTTTGTCTCAAAAGTTAGTTTGCATCCTCCACCATCTGTAATGGGCTTGATTACCGTATAATATAAACTTTATTTCATACGTCACTTTGACAAAACATCACATAAAAGTACAAAACTACATTTTTTGCCTCTTTTTTACGTTTCTGGTTTTTCGATTTATGTTTTTTGAAATGCATTTTATACAGCTATTTCAATTAATGTTGTCACCGAGACAATAGTCAAATGTGCAATAATGGCGCTAAAAGGATGATGGGAATAATCATAGTTTTAAATAAGTTAATGTATCAGTAGCTTCGTGCGGATACTTTTAGCGACAGCTAGGTTCTCGGCGACCCTATAATGTATATAGTTCTTGCAGTGTTTTTTCAATTTGAAATTTTACACTATCCTTCGATCCCTAGTTAGGGCTAAGAAACCTATCTAAAAGCCAAAAACTAAACAAAAAGGTAAGATTGATGCAAATGCAATCCATATTGTTCCGTTTTCTTTTCAAATCCCACATAGATAGTAACAGTAACGAATTGAAATAGTGATTTTCGTTACCAGAGGATAATTTTCACTTCGACATTTCTAATATTACAATAAAGATAAATTAACCTCTGGAACGAAGGTAAACATGAATATATAATGCTGGTATATTTTTGTGTATATTTTAAAGTAATAAAATTTTCAACTAACAGCTGGAATTCATATAGATGTGGTCCCCAACAAATGCCTGTTCCCAAGCCACCGCGGAGCGGTCCTGTGGTATATAAGGGTATACTACAATCTTGGAAAAAAATGAAAATATGAATATTTTTTAAATCGAAATAAATATTTGCTTTGAAACACCCCACCCCTCTCCCCCCAGAACAATGTTGGCTCAGGTGAAATGGATTTGCAAAACATATCATGTAATTACCAACATTATAGAAGGGAGACCTCCCTTAAGGCCGTATAAGGAGGGCAAACGATTTGAAATCTTGGAAAAAATATCCGTAGACTTTTTGAAAAGTACATCCAAATTTGAAGATATGTAATGAAAAAATGAGTACTTTTTAAATCGAAACAACTATTTGCCTTGAACTCCCCCCCCCCTCCCCACCACCACCACCCACTACCATGGTACCAGCACCACCACCTTTCTCCCAGAATAATGGTTCTGGTGAAATGGATTTGCAAAACATATCATGTATAAACATTGAGGGAAAACTCAGCAAAACATTCTGAAAAGGGTTTTAAACCTATAGGATTCTCCAAGTTGGAGCTGATTTTAAATCTACTACATCGAAAAGTCGAAAAAATCTAGAATCGAAACCAAATTTAATGAAATTGACAGATAAAACTTGGCTTCGGGCAGTACTATATGTGCCTATTCCCAAAAATCCTATCGTCGGATCCCCCCTCCCCTCCCCCACCGCCCTATTTGACTTAAAGTGACGACAGAATAGAATAGAAAATTCAATAAGTCCAAAACATTTTATTTCCATCTGTCAAGTTTTTGTCGAATGTAGAGACTGTAGTATACCCTCACTACAGGCACGCTCCGCGGTGGCTTTGGAACAGGCATTCGTTAGGAACCACATCTATATGAATTTCTGCTGTTAGTTAACTTAGTTTAAAATTTTATTACTTTAAAATATACACAAATATATCATACATTATATATTCATGTTTTGGAAATGACGAGTATTAAATGTCCACTCACAAATTTGCACTTGTTTGCTCTACGTTAATGTGTTTTGACAAATGATAAGCGTATAGTACCTGTGCGAACATGCAAAAATTCATTAACGTTTAAGCTAACAACACGCAGTTGCATGCATACGCATTTGTTACACAGTTGCATACGCATTTGTTAAACAGAATGTCTGTGAATGACAAGCTTGCTAAGGTTATAATTTTTGCTTTGTTGGCGTTTATGTTTTACGGACGTTCAACAGTTGCGAATGAAAATAAATGTAACGGAACGGAAGTTTCAGAATACGAGGTTCTTAACATTGGCGGCTTATTTGCTATTCATGGCCAAAGGAAAAACCGAACTTCTTTGTGTGGTCCATTTAGAATGGGTGGTTTTGAAGAACTGAATGCCATGTTATTTGCTGTAAGTAAAGTCAATGAAGACAGAAATATTTTGCCAGGAATAAAGTTACAAGTGAAAGTAGAAGACACATGTAGTTCAATGGAACTTGCTACCGAAAAGTCGCTGAATTATACGATAATCAACTATCAATCCATATACAAATGCTTTGGTAATCACTCTACACAGGACAAGCCAATATTAGCGATCGTTGGTGAACGGAACAGCGATATCTCACGAGCTGTTACCAACCTTGTCGGCCTTTTTCATATTCCGGTTATCAGCTATGGCGCGACAAGTTCATCTTTAAGCGGAGTAAAATATTTCACAAGAACTATTGCTCCGGATACATTTGCCACGCAGGCATTAGTCGACGTTATTCAACGATTCAGGTGGAATTATATAATCCTATTGCATTCTGACAGTGAGTACGGCCGGTTTGCTGCAGATTCATTTCGCGAAAAGCTTCGTAAAGGAAAGAAGAATATATGTACAGCTGTTGATGAACATATTAATGAAGAAATGACTGAGGGCCTGCAAATTACGTGGCAAAAAATCGACAAAGAAAAACACAACACAAAAGTCGTGGTGGTTTTCGCAACTTACGAAGATTTTAGTGGCTTTTTACAAACAGGGAAAGGAAAATATGACCTTGAAGAATATATTTGGTTATCGAGTGACATGTGGAATGGGCAGACAGCTAACTTGACATGCCTGTTAAAACATGCCATCAGCGTTATACCTAACCAGATCTACATTCAAGAATTTGCAAAGTTCTTTCAAAATGCTCAGAAAAACCTACACTATTTGAAACAACATTCAACTTTTAGCGAGAGTTGGTTTGAAGAATACAATTCCTTAGCGGAAGCTGAAGTTAAGAATAAGAGTAGCTGTGTCGTATGGGGCTCTTCCGAAGTCAGTTATGTCGTGGATGCCGTGTACACGATAGCCTGGGCTTTACATGGTATCTTGAAGTGTGATAACACCACAAAAAGCTGCAACAAATCCGAGGCGAAGAATTTCTTTAAAAGGTATAAGAACCAAATATACGAGTATTATACCGTCCAGTTTGCTCTCCCAAGTTGGCTCCCCTGGCCCTTTCACGGAAAACCAAATGCTATATAAACGTATCCTATACTGTAGACATAGACGTTCAAATATCTTCAATTTGACATACGACCTCTTATAGCAATTTGGTCTGAATTTCAAGCTGGTTTACATCATGCGATGATGTAATTGAATGCTGCATGCGTATTCCTACTGGAATTGCAACATTTTTCTGGAAGCTAATCATACAATTCGAGATGCAATTAGCTGAAAAATTTGGAACAAGCTTTGATGTTTCGAGTGAAGGAAGACGCTTCTAATCTCCAGACGAAGGGCCTTCGCTCGAAACGTCGAAATTTGTCCTTTTTAGGTAGTGCACACACATGCACAAGCCAACCAATTTGTGTTCCTCGTTGCCTATATATAGTGCTACCCTACATTTAGGTCTCATAATGGGCTTATTTTCTTCACCACAGTATTAAGGCCAAGTGATTCACCTCTCCATTTTCCAGTCGTCAGACAATTCAGCCATGATCTTCGAATTCGTCTCAAATTATACATGCCAAAAATGGGCATGCATTTATTATTTTAACACACACAATGTCATATACATAATGCCTGTCATTTATGAGTTTTACGACATGTTAATGTACGAGGATATAAGCTGTGTCAATAAGGAATAACGTTCATAAATATGGCGTCAGATTTCCGCCAATATTCATGTTGGTATTAATTCAATTTCGGTCATTGAAGTGAATTTCGACATTGAACATATCAAATTCAGCATACCGCTTTGATTTAACATTGCTTCAATTTCACATGTTTCCCTAACTGATGTTAATTTGGATATTGAACATGTCAAATTTAGTGAAATACAACATTGAAGTACAGATATTGAAGTAATTTTCAATGTTAAAGTTTCAAAACAGGTTGAAAACGCATCACTGAACCACAACATGCATTTGGGAAGTGAATATTGGCGGTTATATAGCACCGCGTTAATTAATGCTTGGTTAAACCACTGTTAAACACCCCCCCCCCCCCCGGCACTCGCCTGGGATTCGATTCCTGTGTAGAGGGAGTGGCAATACGACCATTGTCAACCTAGGCTGATTTCCACAAGGGGCGTGTACAATAATAAAATTACAAAGATATAGTATATAGTAAGATATTACATACAGTAAGAAATATATATATTATATATACATATATAAGTATAAGAATATAATAATGCTATTCAAAAATGTGAGTATTCAAAAATGTGAGTAGCTATTAGAATCGACCAATTCCAAAGTGATTTCGTCGATCACCAAGGCTGTCTAATCGCGATATTATGTCCTCCGGATATTCAGTGCACCAATTATTTTATGATTTTCATCGTTCTGCTCTTTAATTCGTAGCTGCCGTATTGGAATCAAATCGGGGGGGGGGGGGGGTTTAAAAAAGGGTT